GATTTAAATTTAGTAATTTTTGCCCGCGGGCAACCTGATGCCCACCACCGGCATAAACACACAGACACACATACATATGTAAATATGTATGAGCATGGCAAGGTTCAAAAAAATTTAATTGGAAATGCAAGGGGGAATGATGGAAATGCGAATTTCAAGTAATAAACATTCAATTTGTATGCAGCGGTTGATGTGCGACAAACCGTAGGCAGCTTTTACGCATACACACACATAGTCAAAATATTCATGCAAAAGTTCGCTTTTGAATTGCTTTATTATGCCAAAGTTGCCGACGATGTACGCAGCAACACACGCACACCTCTATTTATAACATGGACGTATATATGTATGTATGTAAATTTATTGGAATTTTGATGAACAGGTGCGTAATATACTTATAGTGAAAAGTACTCCCCTGTCTCTGCGCAAATGTGACAATATTCATGTACTGTACGTACTCGTATTTCTGTACATATGTATGTGTATACGTGCAAACTTAGTCGCCTTACGAGCATCCTTAATATATACAAATGAGAGGCGCTTCAGTGGCATCTGTCGTTTGGCAGTTAGGTACCGCCTTGCAAGCAAATGCGGCAAGTGCTTCTGTGGTCGCATTTTTCTTTTAAGTTAGTTTTCTCTTGTTTACATTATAATGATTAGAAAGCCTTTGCGAAAAACATACATCGTAAGAGTAAACGGAATCGTCATCGATATCGAAATCGTAATCGTAGTGGTAATCATAATCGCATTAGTAATAAGAATTGTAATCGGAATCGAAATCGCCAAGGTAATATTAATTGCAATCGTAATAATGGTAATAGTGATTGTGATCGGAATATTTATGGTAATCGTAATGGTATCGGAATCGTTATCGTAATCGTCATTGTCATGGCCGTCGTAATCTCAAACGTAATTGTCGTCATAATGCCTACAGTAACTGGAATCGAAATCGTAGTAGTTACATTTATTATATTCCCTACCAGATCCACTGGCATACATATGTAATATGCAGTTACTTTGGCTTTACATTAAGACCACAACTAATCTTTACCTTACCGAAACCATACATATATTTATCACTTTAAAATTCATTACTTTGTAGTCATAACATTCTCGCAACTGTTGGATCGGGCGTTGAAATATTACCACTTACTTTGCAAGTCCGCAGGTGGCCGGAAGGAAAACCAACAGAGGTGACAGCAAACAACAATAAACAAGCAAGCGTGAAATTTGATAAATACATTCCTGAACAACAACAAACAATAAAATAACTAAAATTTATGTAAAATGAGCAAACACCCGCTGAAGGACTAATGCCGCAAGCAAACTGCAAGTCAGTTCGAAACCACAAAGTTGAGATGCAGCCAAGTGGTACGAATTTTACTAACTCGCCACGTGTGTTGCAAAAGAGTGAAAATGCGTGCGAAGCAAATGCGCGCACAAAGAAATTTCAAGGCTGCAATTTCTGCAGAGTTCTCCTAGTTGTGGCAGCCAAGATGCCACATGAGGCGCGTGATTTTTTTTTTGTTGTTTATTTTTGCAAACTGAGCGTGTGTATGTATGCATTGCACCTGCAGATTATTATTTATGAGCGGTAACTTTCCTCCAAAGGTGGAAACCTTCATACGCTTATGAAACATATATGTATGTAACTACACATGTACATTTTGTAGCGAAACTTTGCAAGCGTTGGTATGAAAAAGTGCATGCCATACTATTTGAATTAGAGTAGGTGTGGTAAGTATGCAATTTATTGCTCACGACTAAAGTGAATCGGTAGCCGTTTCTCACACTCCCTTCATTTGCGTGCTCCAAGTGTAAAGTATTTAATACATTAATCACGTGCGTGGGAATGGCGAGCACGTGCAAGTGTGTTGGGATGAGTTGAATAAAATGCAGTTATCACTTAAGGCATTAAGGAACGTTAGGCGGTAGGTGTTGGGTGTCGATATGTGGCAATTTATTAGGCTGCAATGTGGAACGCAAGGTCCCACAGTCTACTAAGCCATTTTGGGGCAGCCACATTTTCATAACCGGGACTTCCTTGACAAAGAGAAAAGAAAGAATGCTCAAGGTATTAACCTGCTGAACCGATTCCTATCTCGACTGCAATTAAAGAGGTCCAAGAGATCATCCGCTGACAC